TAGTAGCCCTAGGCAAAGTGCTGGCAGCAGCGGGCAGGGCGCGGGCATGTGCGCGGTTAGTCGGGGCAGGTGCAGGTAGCCCGGGCAACTGCGGGTAGCTTAATTTGAACGGGTCGGGTCAACCCGAACCTGACCCGTTTTTCAAAACGGGTCGAATCCGAGAACCCCAACTCGACCCGTTTTAAAATCGGGTCGGGTCCAACCCAAATTTTTCCGGATCGGATTCGAGTCGAATTTTCGTATCGTGTCAAATATTGACACCCCTAGACCTAACATTTATCAAAATTGTTGATACTTGATAAATCTATTTATTGTTTATCTTGCAATTTATTATGTATGAATAGTCAATGAATAAATCATTCAATAATATATAAAAAACAACAATGAGGAAAAAAAGAACTTATCTGAATTGCATTGAAACCAAATTAAAACATGAGATCATACATATATATTATTTTCTATTACGCCCTCCTCTGTTAAATAAGATCTGAATTCTCCCATCTTCTATAACATCGTCACTATTATTATTATTATTATTATTTTTTGCTATAACGCTGTCACTAATTATTTCTAATGGGCTTCAACTAGGTTTTGTGTTTTGGGTTAAGACCAATTGGGGACCTAAAGCATTGAAGGCTCGTAGTATGGAAATATGTCAATTAGGAGGTGAAGATAAGAAGATTTGAAAAATGTGGTATCATGATTCAACATATCCTAATGTATATTTCTTCATTAAGAATTCCTTAGATTAATGAATTTGATATCTCATGTCAATTATTGTTGGGTAGGCTTACATATTTGGACCCATTGGCAAACTTTTGATATTTTGTTTGTCAAGAAGAGAACAACCCGGTGTAGAGGAAAATTATTAGGTCCGGTCACCTGATAGAGAGATACATCCGGATTTCTCTCTATCTACAGTACAAACGCAATTATTGTAGCAGCTACGCTTTGACTGCGCTTTCATTGTAGCCTCTAATATTTTATTTAAAGATATAAGAATGGTTAAATCATGTATTAAGTTATATTTAAAATACATTCTCATGATTATGCGGGATCAAAATTTTATCTTATTTATTAAATCTCTCTTCAATATAATTATTTGTATTTAAGACATGTCCTATAACAACACAGCTCACAACATGCGCACATTATAAATCAATGTCATGAGAGTATCAGATGAAATTTCTAATATTTTTTACTTTAACTAATTCGAACTTTATATTAAAATTCTTTAATATTTATGTCGCAAGAAAAAAATTTTATTATTCAAGAATTATTATGTTAATTTTCTTTCTATTTTTTCATAATTAAATTTAAAATATATATTTCATAGCTACTTTTATCTTTAATGAGCACATATATCATACGAGATTATTACGTGCGGACGCCGAATGTGTCTGAAAGGAAATGAGGAGGCGCCACGTCATGAAATGCAATGTGCATTCAATGATGTGGATTGTGGCTCCTAGCTCCTCATTCTCCTCCGAGCACGTTCGGCATCCATACGATTAATTATGCTACACTAACAATCTTTTTGAGATGGTTAAAATATTTTATAAAGTTGGTTGTGAAGTTATTGTGAATAAAAATAACTTTGTTATTATAGTTGTAGAAAATAGCTTTCCACCACATATAATTCTGAGCACTGAAAAATCAATAAGAAAAGAGTAGCCAATTAAAATTATAGTCCATATATGACCTAAAAATGAATTATAGTATAAGATGCCACAAACCTATAATACATCCAATAGCAATAAATAATGGTATGCTATGATCATTAAGTACTGATAGAGCATTAAACATGCAGGTAAGTGTTAATTTGGATTTTTATTGCTTAGCTAAACGGCTTTAGCATTAAAAAAATTGCATTCACGTCAATCCTTTCTACTGTAGTATGTAACTATATATAAAACGTTAATAGTAACAGTAACTATTACAAATATACCAAGAAAATTATAAATTAATA